CGGCTATATCAACACGCTCAATGCAACCAGAGACCTACTATAAGAAAGCGAGTAAAATGAGAGGTACTGTGTAATGATGGTCAGTTACACTATAAAACTGATGTAATAATTGTAGATTTGTCCTTGAGTGATGTGCATGTAATACCAGTTGATGATATCATGAGTAGAGATCAAGGCAGAGATATGGTACAATGTACATGTACGTATAGTGTGTAGTCATTCACTCATTATACAGTTTTTATTGTTCATGTACTACATGTATTGTGAATTTATGTATTCATTAATTTTAGTTGGCACTAATTGTTGCCCAGTCAAGGGATTCTAGTGGTAGCCCTGTCAGGGATTAAGTTACCTTCTCTCAGTATTGGCTTACAAAGAATCAGCAGCTTAGCATTAAGGCTAAATGGTAATATGTACTAATTGTTTCTCTGTCCCATTTTTTTTCTTCTTTATGTCTTATTTCTTTTTCTCTTTCTAGCATCAGTTCATTTACCAAGGATAGGTCACTCTACTCCTCATTTCAATTGGTATGGTACTGAGAGACTAATCAGAAAACATCTCTCAAGCAAAGGAATACCAACCTTTATGTATCTTAGAAATGCACAAACCACTTACTATGAACTATATTGTACATGTACATGTAGGGAAACTCCTCACATTAATTTCTATGCGTTTCTATGACTGATAATTATCTCCTTAACACTTTCAACAGTTATTATTTTCCACGTTATGGACAACACAAAACTATACCAAGTGTCAGCCCTGAACTTCATACTAAAGGTAAAAAGACTCCTTCATTAATTCATCATTATTGTAATCCTTTAGTAGTGGATCCATTACCTGAAATATTTACCGATGTCAGTGTCTGTTTCTATGGAATTGATGAGAGCACCAAACTCTCTCTAACCCGTTATATAATAGCATATCCTAATTCTACTATGCATACTTAATGTTACATTAATAATGATGTATATATTCCTTAACTTATCCTTACTTATAATGGTGATGTAGAGGAGGTCCCCACTGATAAAACAACACACATTATTGTTCCTAGCTTGGAGGGAAGCAAGTTGCCATGGAATACACACAAGGCCACAGTACTCTCATTGAAATGGTTGGAAGATAGTTTAAATGAAGGATATCTGTTACAAACAGTGAAATACATCATTTAATGTAATTCAGTATTTTTAAGTTGTGTGGCTAAAAATATAAAATAATATTAAATTAATTTGAGTCATAACTCATAATCATAAATGGGCGTTGCATGAACAGAACCACACCTATACTCAACTGTACTGCTATAAAACTTCCAAGTGCTACCAAATCATTTTCACTTTTTTTAGCAGACTCAGCCCTCACTTTATTGAAAGTTCACTATTGCAAGCCTGCAGCCTTAAGATATTCACTGACTCCTCGAGTTCATAGCATGGATAGTCAAGGTAGCTTCTACTAGTTTTACATATTTAATAAGTAGATCTATTATTTATTTTCTCACCATAGCAAGAGTTCAAGTACAGGCTAAGATCAGAAATCTTTTTCAAAACAAGCCTGCACATGGCCATGGTATCTCACCATCATTTCGTGATTTTCATCCAGCCAGTGGAATAGAGTTGCAGAAAATGATGCTCAAGTTGGTCCAGGCGGCCTCAGAGGCCGCTGCCGTAGCTTTTCGCTCGCTTGTTTGTTTTACAGCCATCGGAAGCTGAGAAACATGATTCGTTGGAGGCCGCCATTGAAGTAGCAGAAACTGCTATAAAAGATTGTGTTAATCCTCATCTTGTTAAAATGGCAATGGGGGTTTTTCTAACGCATAGTAAAGAGGCTCAGTATTTAGGAGTTGTGGCACCCTCACTAAAGGAGCATTAAAGGCCACTATACACCAGGCAATTCTATTGCTTGCAATCTGTGGTTACTTTGATGTTGTAAGCAATGTGTTGCCTAGAATAGAACATGTTTCTATTCTAGGCAACAGTGTTGCCTGAAGATCAAAGTAACCACAGATTGCCTGCAATAGCATTGCCTGGTGTATAGTGGCCTTTAGAATTTGCCATGCCAGCTGTTCCGATTGAGAAAATCGTCATCCCTGAGGTCATCGTGGGTCCGACTCTTCCAGACTCAAATCCTACTACAGCGGACACTTTAAGGGCAATAGAAACCCTCTCGTATTGGCGAGAAGATTATGATCTCAATGACCATCACTACCATTGGCATCTCGTCTATCCTTGGTCAGGAATTAGTACAATAAAGGATAAAAAGATCCACCGAACCATTGATAGGCAAGGGGAACTGTTCCTTTACATGCATTCTCAGATGGTAGCCCAATACAATGCAGAGCGGTTGAGTTGGTCTGACATAGGACTGGTGGACTCATGGAGCTATGATCAGGTGGTGGAGCCAAGTTATACACCACCCCCAGGTCTGAGAGATGAGTATGGAGCAAGGCCTCCACTTCAAGGTTGGCTTGAGCAGCATTCCCCCTACATGACTGAAAAACTTGCTACTGTTTCCAAAGATACAATGATTTTCTGGCGTAACAACATCAACAAGGGCATTATTCAAGGTTATTTTTACACAAAGAAAGAAAATGGCGATCAAGGAAAGTTCCATCTCACAGAAGACGATGCCATGAACTGGGTTGGCATAATTGTTGAGGCTGAGGCACATCAGCTGCAGGAGGTAAGCCCAGGCTCAAAGGAGTTCATTGATAGCGACTTGTATGGCACACTACACAACCTTGGTCATGACAAATTTGGCGAGATTGGTTACCAGACATACATGTCAAACAAAAACCGTTGGGGAGTAATGGGGTTCACCTCTGTTGCAGTTCGTGATCCAGTCTTTTGGAATTGGCACAGGCACATTGATGATTTTTGTCAGTCTATTATAAACAAATACAAGCAACATGCACTCAAAGAAAGTGCCCCACCTCATGTAAAACTCACTGGAGTACAAATCCTGCCACGAGATAAAAATTCTACAACACCTGATGGAGGTATTGCCACATATCTCACTGCACCTCGTTTGGAATTGCAAGAAGTCAATGCTAAACTCAACCATGTGCTTTACAAATGGGTAGTCAAGGTTGAAGCCACTGTAGATGAAAACGAAATTAAAAATTTGAAGCCATTTACTGTGCGAATCTTCATTGCTCCTAAGCGGCTAATGCATGCATGAGCAGCGCTGTTACATCGAAATGGATAAATTTTTATGCACTCTTACTACAAAGTCTGCAACATTTGTCAGACTAGATGTAGAGTCCTCTGTAGCCCGCAAAGTACCTGATTCATCGGAGTATCAAGATCCACGCTGTTTATGTGGATGGCCTCCAAATATGATGATACCCAATGGTACTGAATTGGGCATTGATTATGTAGTTTTTGCTATACTCACTAATGATATCATCTCAGAGGTATGTTTACTAGCTTTTTATGCAGCTTTTACTATGCATAAAGTCATTGCAGGTTTTGTAATTAACTTGGTATACTTTATTTTATGTAGGATAATACGGTATCAATGTCTTTCTGTGGAGCCAAGGATAATAAATATCCTGATCCACGTGGCATGGGATATCCATTTGATAAAGCATAGTTCAGGACCTCCTCAGAGATGCCTGAGGCTATCAAGGGGTTAGATCATGTGAAATTATCCGAATTCAAGATTTATCGTAAGACACAGCTTTACCAAGGCAGAATAGTGAAGGTAGAGGGAAACATCAGTTGGGAAAATACTATTCAATATTTCTTCACACAAAGTGATGCAAGCTACATGATGAAAGAGTACAAAATTGATTTGACCAAGAAAAAAGATGTGATTCGTTACCGAATGTTTATATTTGGTTTAGTGGAAGATGGTACTATACCAGTCGATGGCAATACAAAGGAAAAGAAGTCTAAGTGGAGTGATGACAAAATTGCCAAGTTTGAAGCATGGATAGATGCTGACTTTCCTTGAACTAACATTTGAATATTAATAATTAATGTAATCAATAGGAAGAAAACTTTTTGAAGTAGTGAATATTCTAGTTTTTGGTTTGAGGCCATTTTTGTAAAATTTATCATTAAAATAATGAAAACAGAAAAGAATAAATAAAAGACATTTAATTGCATGGGTTTAGAAAAACTGTATATACAATAAATTTACAATCCTCCTTTCATCATTTGACACAGCATATCTGTCGTCTTGCTAGCCATACCATTGGTCACATCCTTTTCTGAATGTAGGAACAAGACTACTTTAAGCAATGTACCAGGCTCTTCTCCACTGTCCACCCAAATGACTGTAGGCTTGGGAATGGTCTGACTAGTGAGACTATCCTATCTAATGTTTTTTCTCAGACACTCCAAACCTGTGTGTATAAAAACTAGAGTAAAATGTTAACAATATTTCTCTGCAGTGCATTCTACAAAATTATAAATAATACTATACAATTACCTTTTAATTGAGGCACTACTATCATTCATTAGGTAATTGAATAAAAAATTGAATGGACAAATGTGCAGACAATGTAAGAGTGTCAGATGACATCCGTTACACACACACATCTACAATAGTAAAAACACACATGCACACACATATACAGTAGTAACACACACATAACAATGATAACACACATAACAATGCATTGCACAAAAAACCAATTGTAACACACACGTAACAATGGTAATAGACAAACTCATTCACAATTTTTCTTGTTTCCATTGAAATAGAAATGGTAAGATATTTGCAGCCTTATTTTTGTGTGTTAATGGTATGATTACTAAAACACCCACATGGGAAAAATAACTAGCTATTATAGCCCACATCTGATTGCATATAGTCTAAAAGTGGAGCGAGGAAAATAGGTAAAAGCTAGAATACAGGTTTAAATACAGTTGCATTAATGTACAATTAAAGTTGGCATTATCTCCTTTGAAGGATGTGATTTTCAAAACAGAGAAAAGGTAAATAATTGTAGCAATATAGTTTCAAAAAATTATACTGACCAATAATGAAAATAAAATAACACTGTCAAGACAAACCCATTCATGCATCATAACAAATGCTTATACATATCTAATTATTAGGCCACTAGCATTAAAAATTGATATGCATAGAAGAGGATGAATTTTATTCATACATAAGTAAAAGAGGTCAGTATGTTCATTACATTAAGAGACACCATATCTCTTAGCAAAACAATAAGGGTTTCATGGTTTCTATAAACCCAAAACAACAATGTTATCTTTTTATTTAGTATCAACAATTATTTTTGATGCATGCCATAGCTACACTTCTGCATGCCTATAACATTTCTGTTTTCCTTCATTTATCTGACACTAAACATGAAACAACTTAAAACGTTCAAGGACCCATGAAATTATAAGAGATATCAAAAGAATAAAAACTTTAAAAGTGTACAAATAGCTTTATAAAAACTAGTATCAGAAAAGACCTCAACATTGTGTGTCCATGATGCCAAAATATTATTAAAAAACTTCTTAGTCATGTAAGTCCAGTGTCATACCATATATGGTCCTAGCTAAAAGTGGTCCTTTGACAGTTTTTTCAGTACAATTTAGAGTTAGATTTTAGTGCTTAGGCTTTGGAGTTTAGTGTTAAGTTTTTAGCTTTTGGCAAGCAATATTAGTCAAGGGGACTAAAATTTTACGGAGCTATGGTCTGGAGACCATCGCTTTCTGGGGGGAACTTTTTTGCCAAGGGACCTAATTTTTCAGTTGTGACACGAGTATATCTCAATAATTATAATCTAATTTCAACATATCCAGCCCAGGATAGACATGCAAAACTAGAGGGGTGACTATACCAAGACTTGTGGAAATTGTTAAGTTATATCAGGAACACTTACTGGCTACTGCAGAACTGTCAGATCATGGTGAATGGCTTCATTTCTCAACTCTCATGGTTAAGTATACTAGTAATTCTCTGCAGCCCCGTCCATGCCATTTTCCCAACCAAAATCAAATCGAGCCTGTTCTGAATCATCTGACCTGAATATTATCAGTGCATGGTTGAGCTTGGAATCCTCGGATCATAGATAGAACTGGATTGAGCTTTGACTGTTTTCCTCAACTTGTGTAAGTTGGGATTGACCTGGGTTTGTCTAATAAAAATTAATAATGATGATTAGCAATTAAAATTGAAATGTTAAATGTCAGTAATGCACCTCTTGCCATGACTATAGCACTTAATGGCTAAAAATGTGGTTATAGCACAGAGCATGCCTAGACTGGCTAGCTAGATCCACTATCACGATAGCTTAAATACTACTATCACATCACAATAGCTTCTATACTATCGCGATAGTGAATATATTCGAAACTATCGCCCAGCTCTACATGAAATAGATTTTTGAATGAATTCGTGAATTTTTTGGGCCATGAAAATTTCTCGCTATTCAGTAATTGATGGATGATGTGAAGTTAAGTCAATTTAGATGTATTTGCAAAGTCCCTGTACTATAAGGGTCATTGGCCTAATTTTGCCAAAAATTAAAATGAGAGAATTCTCTATTTTTCTCCAGATACATAGATGTACTTATGTTGTGTGGAAACTTTGAGCTGATTTTGATTATAGTCAATTTTTTATAACTTTTTAAAGCTGCTTCAAAATCAGGCCAAAGCCTCTGGTACTTTACTACAGGGTATTTGGTTAAAATTTGTCAAAACAAAAACAAGAAAATTATCTATTTTATATGTTTTCCTGGTACATATACATGTTTTGTATGTTGTGTATATAAAAAGTTTAAGCTGATTGCTGATTCCAATCAAAATTAAATTTTTTACAAATTTTTAAAGTTAATAAAATTAGGCCAATGTCCCTGTACCATAGGGTCATCCCAAATTCTACCAAAAATGAAAAAGTCAGTATTCTAAATTTTCCTTTTTTTCCTGATACACATACATGTACTTATGTTGTATGAAAAGTTAGAGCTGATTTCTATCAAATTAGAATTTTTCATATTAATTTTTAATGTTGCTCCAAATTGGTACATTATGCATGCATGCATGTTTGACACCTTTATTATGATTAATTTTATTGACGAAGTCAGCCTTCATTATTAATTATTGTTTTACAGAACAACTAGTACTGAGTTCTACTGGCCCTTCAACTGATGATAGAGTTTTAAGAAGTGGTGGGTCTGGAGGAGGTCAACTCAGAGCAACTGATGAGTTATTATCTCAAAAACGAAAAAAGGAAACCACTCACTGAAGAACAACTAGAAGAGAGAAGAAAGAAGGTTTGATTTACCAAATGCATGTAGTTCATGCATGTCATGTGTGTATTGGAAAATGTAGTAACATAAAATTTATTTACATGTAGCTATGAATTATAGTCTCTGGCCCAATTATTAAATTAGAGCCTAATTGTTCCAAGGAAATGTGTCAGTAGAAAATTTTAGTCAAAATGATATTTGTTTTGAAGTCAATTTTGACAAGAACCATGGGCTAAACCATGTATTAAGGTCACAATAGTTACACCACAAAATTAATATTACTTGCCCTTACTAAAAATTCAGGACTGACTTTAAATGGATAAATTTTAAATGTTAAATTGTCACAAATCAGTCAAAAATAAAGTTTGCATGAATTAATTTTTTATTGCATTTTTTCTGAACATAACTTTTAATGGCTGATTTGTAAAAATGTACAACTACAGTTAATTACAACAGTTTAATTACTCAATGTACTTGTACATGCATATAAGCACGAAATTCTTATACTTCTTATAAGCTAAGATTAAGAGACAAAAACTCATGGAGGAAGAAAAGAAAAGACAAAGAGAAGAGAAGGAAAGAAAGAAGCAGGAATGGCAGAAAGAACACAACTACTCATCATTAAAGATAAAAGAAGAGGAAGAGGAGGAGGAGGAGGAAGAGAGAGAGGAGAGGGAAATACAGTATCTCATTGGTGACGTGACACAACCACAAAACACATCAACTAATGATGCTATTATTGTACACTGCGTAGGTAAGGAATATCATATTGTTGGTATGAGACCCTCTTTATTTTAGTGCATAGTGTTAGTACCATAATATTTTATATTAAATTCATTCTGTACATTATGCTTTTCATTTACATGTACTTGTAGATGATTCTGGACAGTGGGGACATGGTGGTTTATTCTCAAGTATATGAACACGCTCAATGCAACCAGAGACCTACTATAAGAAAGCAAGTAAAATGAGAGGTACTGTGTAATGATTGTCAGTTACATTATGACACTGATGTGATGATTATAGATTTATCCTTGAGTGATGTGCATGTAATACCAGTTGATGATATCATGAGTAGAGATCAAGGCAGAGATATGGTATGTATGCATGTACATGTACGTATACTGTAGTCATTATACGTTTTATTGTACTATTTTGTTTTAATTAATTTTAGTTGGCACTAATTATTGCCCAGTCAAGGGATTCTAGTGGTGGCCTGTCAGGGATTAAGTTACCTTCTCTCAGTATTGGCTTACAAAGAATCAGTAGCCTAGCATTAAGACTAAATGGTAACACCTAGTAATTGTATGATCTTTCTATTTCCTTGTAATTTTCTCTCTTTTTCTCCCTCTTTCCCTGTCCCAACTGTCTCTTTC